CGACAATGATCGCCGTACAAAAAAACATTAGGCGCTTATTAGTATTATTATTGTCAAAAATATCGCCTAAGTACTTATGTAGGTTTTTTTTTATGTTATTCTAATTTTTATTATCATTAGCCGAGAAATTAATTAAAATAATGTCCGTGGTTCTTAATAAAAAAAAGACATCAAATTAAGTGTAATTATATTAGCACCGTGACCTTCTATAGTAATAGCTATAGTTACTTCCTTGCAAACTCTTACTAGGTCGACGTTGGACTTGATAATTAGTATTTTTTTTATCTTTTTAATACCTTGTGTTTTATCGACGACGGTCAGTGATACAACAGCATTATATTATTATTATAATGATCCAGCGTTCGACGTCGACCTTAAATAATGTCGTAATAACATAACGGCATCGTGTAAATAAAATATAAAACCCATACCTTTGGATTTGGCTATAAAAAAGTACTAGCGCACTTAAGTTTCCTAACGTTTTTTTTAAATTTTAATACTTTGGATTTTCGTTATTTCGCTTTATTGGTATATATTACTCGACACTAGTCCCACTTGCGCAATTCACTTTCGCTCTTATACATACAGGCGTGTCAGATTTGGGCTCTTGTGTGTACAGGGCGATTCACCAACTATGTGAGCGATCCAATGTTAATAAAGCATCAATTAGTTTGCGGTTTTTTAAGCATTTCGAAACAAGGCGATCTTAACTTTCCAATAATTCATATACACAAATATCTTATAAGTCCTAGATTATAAATTATAATTAAACCGAGATAATCTATTTTAAGCTTTTCGAACAGTTATCTATCTAAAATGTATAATATATTGTTCGAGAATCGAGGGCTTCTACTCATGTTTAGAAATGCAATTTAACATTAATTAGAAGTTTTAATTTTCCATAAAGACTCGCTATGAAACTCTAACTTTTAAATTTGCTTTTGTTAATTATACTTTTTCTTGAATAAACTGGAAGGTTTAATATTTTAAGTTAAGAAGAAGCTAAAAATAATGTTCCTATTTGCTAAGTATATTATAACTCATTTAACTAACAAATTGAGATCAGTCCATTGTGACACAAATTAGCATCAAAAAATATTATTATGAATACAAGAATGAACAATTGAAAATAAGTATTATACAATTTTTAATAAATATATGTCAATATGTAAGATGTAGCGCTTAGATAGGCATAATATTTTATTTCTTCTCTCTCTTGGAAGATCTTTTTCAATTTTTTTTACCTATCTTTTCATCACGCATGACCTTAGGAACAATAAATTTAAGCTGATTTTCAAGCTGCTATTAATTTTAGTAGAGCAGTTTTAGTAAATAATGGAACTAGAAGAAACTTCATTTAAAATTTATACTTCTAATCTATTACAAATACATATTAAAGCATTATAGGAAAATGATTAAATATATTTGTTTTTTGATATAATTTTGTGTAAACAAATATATCAATACCAAAACTTAAAAAGGTGTAAGTTTTTAAAATCGGGTTTGTAGTTGTTAATATTGATAGATAGTTGGAAGGATCGTCCACTGTAAGAATTTGCTGTACTGTATAGTGTTCAAAGATATTATTATTTTTGCTAAGCTAAGTTATTTGATAATATCGAGTGAAAGAAAGTCTGTGCTAACTGAATGGTTTTGGCAAACGACGGTGGTGATGAAATGTAGTGCAACGGGAATACAAATTTCGGCAACTACCGTCTAACACATAAGGACCCTCGACAGTTATTAAATGCACGACCTATCTTATACAATATAATACAAAATATATTTATATAGATGCATGATTTGAATATATATATATATATATATATATATATATATATATATATATAGAGCATGACATTGATCTATTGCTGTTGACGTTGTAGCGCGTTGACTGAAATAAAGATGAATTGACAAACCTTTATCTCCCTCTTGTATCTAATTACTTTATGTCAAATATATTGATTACAATTTAAACTAACTTAAAAATATATAATTACAATATTATCAAAACATTTTTATTTTCTTCAAAACATTTTCGCTGTAGAAGACTTGGTCAATTCGTAGTTGGGATGCCAGCAATGATTTTATGTGCAAGTGTATATCACTATAAAACAGTTTTATTTTGCTAATGTAATCATATCATAGAAAATACTTGCTATTACTTTTTAGAGATATTGTGTTTGTGAATATGCACTTTGTAGTACTAAACTAAAACTACAGCAAATCTATAACTGACTTGGGCTACATATTAAAATACAAAAAATAACGTATTTGAGGTATATAATTTTTGTCATTAAGTATTATGGTGTTTAAAAATTAACATATAATAATACACGAAATCGTTTATACTAATAGGTTTTACTCGCGAGTCCGTGTAATTTCTCGTATCGTCCATTGATGTGATAAAATATTACAATAAGTATGCTAATGCGTGATGACATTAGCGGAATTTCAGGTGTTCGTGACGCCGAGCACTTAACGTTTCAATGCGTTTTTGATTGCGAGCACAATTGTAGTACAATAAATGTAGATAGATAACGTAAATGTGAATGCGCCATAACCCGATTATAAGCGGACAGATAGGAGATGCCAATTTAATAAACGCGGGAAAATTACTGAAGCGAAACGATAAAATGTAAAAAAAAAAAGTAATGTTTTTTTGTTTAAATTATTTATTGTCCTCGAGAAATAAAATTTTAACAACGCAATATTATAGTCGGGTTCCTAATACTAATATGTTCAAGTATAAAACTATCAGCAAAGTAATTATCATAGTAATGGATTTCCTCTGAATAAAGTATAAAATACTGTACAAATGTTGGTGGCTATAGTTTGCAATTTATTATTGTCGTTCTGTATCTAGACAGACTAGAATTGCGACCATTACGGTCAATGGTTTTTTTTTTTTAAATCAATGATAAATGACGGGCAATGCACAATCATGTTGCGTTATTATGGCCGGAGGAGGTCCATGAGTGCACCTTATATCCTTTTGAAGGTGCAAATAAATGATCAATTCAAACATGTACTATAAAACTGTATGAATCGCTGTGAATGTAGAAAGAGCACAAATAGTCGTTATATATTTTTTGACATGTTCAGAAATGTTTTTTCTTTACTGATTTCATGTAACCTTTTTAAATATATATATATATAATGATTATTGTTAACGGTAATGATAGATAATCTATTACGGGTTTACTAGTATGATTTTCGTTTACTTAATTATTTCACCATTTATTCTCCCAAACTGACCAATACTTGCGTTTATGAATTTAATAAATTAAAAACATAAATTTTTTTTATACAAAAATTAAAAATAAACGTGAAATCAGTTACGTGGTTCGAGACCAGGAATCATTTTTAACGTATAGAAAAAACATACTGTATGACCTCCAGCATTTTCAAATTTATATAAAGTTATAAGTAGATAACCTCCAATTTTATTAATAACGTAGTAAAACTGATTTTTTATATGGTAAGATATCAAATTAGTGTGGTGGTAGATATATTTTAGGCTTACTCCGATCAACTACAATCGTTAAACCGCCTTTGCTCTAGTAGTGTATTTTTCAGGTACTTCATTCGTTGGATAGACATGTATTACGTGTATTGCTACTTTAAAATAAATATTTATTGCTGTTAAACGCCTAAGTTGAGATACGTATTAGGTAATATATATATAGTGAAACAATATTTTAGTAGAAATATAAACGTTGAATGTTATTGCAAGTAAGATAAATCGTGTCATACTTGTTGCAAATATCATTCATGTTAGGAAATTTGTACAAATAAATTAGAAAGTTTTAAAAACACATCAATAAAATTCATTAAAAGTATAGCCGGTTATAATCATAGGCGATTTTTACTCATCATATCGTTTTGAAACATGGAGAAAGTAAATGTGTCTCGATTGAAAAACATAATATAAGACCTATGCTTACCAGTAAGGGAACAAGTAAAGTAAATCAATTATATTTCTTTAACCACGTTGAACTTTTATAATACTACAGTAATATAATACGTTATAAATACGTTTTAAAGTGACTTAACCCACTCTTGCTGTAGAAGCTAACTTAACCGCTGTGAATTAGCGTTTTGTTAGATTTATTATTATTAATACAGTTATACAGATGTTTTTACCAACAAATTTGGCCGATGACTTTTTTTGTTGTGCAGTGAACGTTTGTAAGCTACCTAAGTACCTAAAAGTGTAAGCTCTATGCAAACCAATTATTTGTAGAAAAATAATTTGTCTAATAAAATTAATATTTAATAGTTAATTGAGACCTGAGTATGATTTTTTTAACTCAAGCCACCTCCCTCAGCTCTATCTATGTTTACCATTAACCATAATTACACTTTTATAAGCGAGTCTTACGCAATAAAGTTTAACCAACTTGTTTTTTTTCTACTTACTTAATTAACCTGATTTCCATTAACGTCGAGTTTAGTTTATGATTTATTCTTGTTAAAACCTTCAGCCTTCAATAAAAATGTATTTACTATAAGGTTTAACTTCGGTCTATCGTCTCAATATTTAGAACAAACGCGTTCTTAAACAAGTTATTAGAATGCGTTCAGATTTTTGTCGAATGTGAACGTTCAGTCAAGTAAGCGATTTTGCGTCGTTTGTTCAACGTTACTTTGATAGTGTTTTATTTCAATTCATAAATACCTAAATAAATATTGTGTACCTACTAAAATAAAAGAAACTCGTGCGACTCTAACCGGACGGGTTGTGAGGAAAACGATAAGTAGGTAACGAAACTTAAATTCAAAAACGATTATTGGTTTATACGTCTTCATTTCCCTCATGATTTTATACATTACTTATATATTTACATCTATAGATATATATCGCGTTTTAATTTTTTAATATTTACTTCTCTGAGTTTAGTCGATTATTATCACGCGGACAATACTAATATTAATTAAAAATGAAAAAAACCTTTTTGACTTGTACTTAACAACAATTTTGTATGTGTCGTTTGCAGATGGTTAGCGAGTGGTGGGCACTGACGTTGATACTGTCTGTAGCCTACGGACACGCGCCTTGTCAACACTTGTATGGTGGGTGTGCATACAACGAGCCTTTCGTGCCTGCGCCCGTCGGTCAGGTCCCCAGGTGTGTTCATCACTACAATGGTGACGTCACGTTTTGTGAGAAAATAGACAGATACCCAGAGTAAGTATAATTTAGTTAGCGAAAACCCCACAAATAGGGTTCAATGGGTTAATTTTGCTTAGACGAAGACCAAAAAACCCGAGTTTGAAAAAAAATGCAAATAAAATTGTTTGATACGTAATTAAACAGTTTTCAAAAAAAAAATCCTGGGTTTTTTTAAATGTTGTTTACTTAAAATTCAGCAAATGTTTTGTAAAAATATATGAGTATACTCACAAATAACAAATATAAATAATAATATTAAATTCACATGGAAATAATATGAAGTAAACGTGTTCCAGGCGACTGATTAGCTATCTGGTGATGAAAACGGACAAAAACTTCAAAACATTTTTTAACGAAGAAAAAGTAGTTGATAACCCGTATTATAGGTGAACAGTAATTTATATTTTATTAAATACACATAATATTATCTTATTAAATATATAATATCGTATAAATGTTTTTTTTAGAAATCATAACCAATACAACGATACTCAAATCGATTTTGCCGGTTATCCTGATAGAACGTATCACTTACCAGCTGATATTTCCTTAACCGAGACTCCTTCGAATCCAAACCAAAACTTCCAATGGCAATCCAGGTAGGTTTCGAATTATTTATATATTAAAATAAAATAATTTGTGTTAGTTAGGGATGATGTCGAGGCGTTTATATTTAAATTAACGTTTATTGAGTTAATAATTCTATTTTGAAAATAGATCAATATAAACGCTAAAAAATATATATATATATATATATATATATTAGAGAATACAAATTAATTGTACGTAATAACTCATCAAAAACTGTTGTACTTAAGTTTTATTTTTTGTTTGAAATAGTCAAAGTCAGGGTGGTTACAAAAGGCGGAAAAGACAAGAAGATTCGGATCAGCTGTGCCAGGTCAACATAAACAATGTTTACCCTAGGGCTGCTTTGAACACACAGGGTGAATGGAAATACGTAGTCAACATGGTCAGGACGCCTTCCGATATGTATACACAGTCCATAAGATCGGAAATTTGTGCGTAAGTATGATATTCGAAATGCAAACAGAGTATTACAAATGCCATACGGCTGTTTACTTTGTACAAATTAGTCGTTTCTACCGAATTAAAATAATCACTTTGTTTTCGGCCGGATAAGTTTTTTGGTAAACCTTAATATACTAGGAATACATTAATACCGTAGGAATAAAATAATTTAGGTTTATGGGGCTGTGGCAAAGATTAGGTCACCATAATATTATGTGTTCCATATGCTTACATTTTTGAGTAACTGGTCATTAAGTCAGATTCTAATCTTAATAGAAAATGTACAAGGAAGAATTAACAAAACATGTATGACGTATATTTAGTCTTGGACTTTTTGAGTAACAACAAAAGTAACACTTGACTAACATAAACTAACATTATCTTTATCTACGCACATGTGTATTTATGTTTGCCTATTACAGTAGCCGTCTAATTTTTTTTTTAGAAAAAAAGCGTTAAAATAATAATGTTTCCCCAACATATTTATTTATTGTTATTTTTTTTTTATTTATCGCAATAGTTTTATTATGGAGATTTAAAACCAAACCAAATTTGGTTTCGATTTGCTTTTATGAAGAGTTGAGAGCTTATTGGTTTACAATGATGTATTTTTAATACAATTTGTATGAGCTTACATGCAGTATTTTAGCCACACACTTGATATGGTCTAAATTAACTATATATATTTTATATGATGAAGGAACAATTTAACTATCAATATTTTACCAATTCGGAAATTATCTAACAATTATAAATTCTAGCGAAATACAAGTATTTTATAAATAATACATCTGATAGATGAATTCTGATTTGTAAAAGACAAAATTGTACTGATCCGGCAGTAATTAATCTTTTTACTACTTAAAACACTGTTCCGTTAACAGTTTTCTAGGTTATAAGCGTATAATACAAAATTATCCACTTTTTTAATAAAACATAGATACATATCATGCATTACTCGCCGTAATTAGCACTTGTAATTATTACTTAAAAACGTCTAGTCCTTATTAAAAATGTTAACATTTTGTGAGTGATAAGAGGTATTGAATTATGCATTTTTTTCAGAGCTCCGGAACAGCCATGCAATGGTATTTGCGACCCACCGTTCGGGTTCACTACGACATGCAAACAGAAGTATGTCCAAAAACGGTTGGTAGCATTGCAAGGGACCGGAGATAATTTGTATGTAGACGTTTTCTGGTTTCCACATTGCTGCTCCTGTACCATTGGCAGAGTCGAACAATAAAAAATAAAAAAGACATAATTTTATATTTTTGCAACTGGTTTATTTGCATTGAAAAAATGAATTTGTGTACCGACAAAAAATATTTTTATTTAATATGACTCATTTGCATACGATTATTTAACTATTTTTTAATATACTACTTTTGTGTGTAAAAATTAATACGTTTATTAGAATATAATGTTTTATGATATTGTATTAAGTATGAATTTACGGATAAAAACTTTATTCTTGTAATGCTCCTCTCTATAAGAATAATTCCTTTATTTTAATTTGATAAAAATTCTTAGGTACTTATTATTATACATTTTTATACTTCAACTGTAAATTATAATATATAAAAATGTTGTTTCATATTTTATTGTTTGAAATTTAGAAACAATTATTGGTTAATTCTATTGAGCTATGTAAGTTGAAAAATATTTTAGGCGTTTACCACGGATCAGGATTTTAGCCAATAGGCACTATATAGGCACAGCGCTTAGGGTCTTGAAGAAAAAGACATACAGTGCCTACGACCGACACCAGTAACTCGGTCTATTGCTCGTAGACAAAGTATGAAAAGTCAAATTTATCTGCCAAATTTGATTACTTTGCTTATACATATTCGATATGATAATACATAATATATCTTAATCATATAAGATTGTTATAAAAAACGAGGTCATTGACCATAGTATTTAAAATGGCTTAATTTGGCCCGGGTTCTACATAAAAGCAAATATGAGTAATACTTGCGTTGAGTTAATAAACTACAATATTAATAATTACAATATTTTAGCGGATGGTGAGATTAAAATAAAATATTATGTTTTTATTCAAAAACAAAAAAAGATCGGTTAAAACGAATACACAACAGTTAAGTACAAAATTCTCTTACTCATTCCCCAGCTCAGTCCACCCTCGATGATCTATTTAAATATGCACATTATCCTGAATAGGTTTTATTGAAAATGATGCCAGCATTGCTATCGTGCCCAATCCACCACCGTTGTACAATATGTATTATTATAAACCTGTATCTATTTCTCTACAACTATACATATATTATGTCACAATCGGTACATATGTATTATAAATTATAATAATATATGCGACGCAAACGTAGCGCTAATTTCTGGCAATAAATCACACAACAAATTTTTCATGGGAAAATCGAAAACCGTACCTCGCTTTAATGTATGTGTGTGTATACACATAATATACATCACACTATAATGGAAATTGTTCGGTAGACCATTTTGCGACGTGTTTTATTGTAAAACGTACTTAAAACCGAAAATCAATGACTCGTGCAGTAAATAATTGCCACCCCATTCATACAAAGGTATACACGTCGACGGTATTAAAATGAAACATTAAGTGAAAATGGCCAACCTCCGGTCGTCGCAAAAGCTTAACACTAAAAGTGCCTCGATTTAACGTTAGTCGTTTTTTGCTTACATTTAAGTCTCGTAAAAAATCACATTTCTGCATTTCTTAAAATCTAAGCTTTTCCTCTTATCAAAAAATAAGTTAATACATTTTATATGTACAAAAAATAATTGTTGTAATGATAATTTCCACATTGCTCAGGCTACTAAGCAGTTTATTATTTACTAAGGAAATAAGAATGATTCAACCATTATTTTGTAGAAATCAGACGTTTTTAAAATGTTTATGTTAATACATTTACAATTCCGGCAAACATCAACTATTTTTTTTTTAAACACTCCAACAGTGTTTCTGACCGGACATGCTGTGTATAGTATTAGTATTTGGTAAGGCTTCGATATCATAGATTATTATAGCCTCGTATTACATATTATTTACAATTATTATAACCTCAATCTAATGTTACACATTGATATAGTATTATTTAAATTTGATCATAAAAAGTTGTACATACAAACTCCAAAGCTCGTGTAAACATGGCATTTTTATTGTTAATATTTATAATTATTTTTTCAATATAACAGTTGACTCACATGAAACCCTAGGCTTGCCATGTAATATTACATTTTTATTCTGAATAAATAAATAAACGCAAACTAACTAAACGGCGATAGTATTTGTATTTCAATAACTCGAGACAAATAGTATGCGTGACCATATTTATTTCAAGTTAATATTACAAAACATATTATAGTTAGATGGTAAAAATCAGTACAACTGGGTGGTAGACGATGAAAAATAATCAATACTACGTTATTCTTATTATACAACGGTGAACGGTAATTTATTATGTTCGGTAGTTGGTTGTCATTTTGTTCGTTAAAAATGAATAAGCAACTTTTACAAACTTCGAACGTTCCATAATACACAAATTTATATTAAACGAAATCCATAGTATTACCATATTATAATCTATAACCTACCATACAAAACACTCAGTGGTACGGGACATCTACCTTGTTGTAATAGCATAGTCTGTGCCTAACATCGGTACCCTAGTCTAATAATTATTTGTTTTGAAAAATGATGTTAACTCTGTTGGGCCAAGTCTTTTATTTTTTTTCTATAATAAAATACCGCTCACTTTTCCTTGTTTTTTTACTAACCAAACATACGATAGAGGTTTTCAATTTAATTCTGTTGTTGTTTTTACAATTAATGCTTTATGTAGTACCGTAGCACTGCGCATGGCAAGATTAAAAAAAATATGATTTTACATAGGTTTACAGTTTACTACAGTACTAAAACGTAAACTATATTTTATTTTCTAAATTTATGCACGAAAAAAACCTTTCTATTTTTTAAAATAAACCTATTTTAGCCAAAAATGTACAAGCAACATTTTTAAAAATTGAACGATTGAACAGTAACGCGATCGAAATCCCTGGAACATTTTTGAATCAAGTCATCATTTTTATTTTAGTAATGTTCAAAAGGCATCTTTACAAATAATTCTTCAGTAGAATGACACTGCAAATCAGAAACGGATTTTACAGACAACAAAATGTACCATGAAAATTGTCAACTGAAAGCAATGGTTCTATTTATGGCTAGCTATTTAACGCGAGACACGTTTGATGATAATATTAACGTTTATAGTCAAAATAACATGTATAACATTATAATACATGTATAGCCAACAAATGTAATATGTAAAAAATGCTTTTCGCATTTATAATATATTATTATTATTAAAACTTTGCTCGTTATTTATGTGACCCGTCGTCGTCGTCGCCGTCCAGCCTTTTGTTAGGACTAGCGCAAACTGGTTTTGTGTTCCGATTAAAAACGATAATAATTAAAATATGAAAAAAAAAAAATAAATAAATAGTAAGCCCGTAGTTCTGCGCGCGGACACAAAAGGGCCGGGTGGCGATGACTATGCCGTTGGTGGCTGCGGCGGCGGTGGCGGCGGTGGTGGTGCGGCGGGGACGGTTTTGGTGCGTTACACACACGCGGTATTGCATCACGGCGGCGGCGGAGGGACGGCGGCGCGCGGTTAACAATGACCGCGTGCGTGCGTGCGTGCGTTTGCGCGTATGTGCGCGCCTTGGCGACGTCGACGTCGACGACGATGCGGCCGTCGACGGCTGCACGCGGTAGCGACGGTACAGCTGCCACCCCGGGGGCACCTGGTAGGGGGATGCCGGGGTGCACGGCTACCACTTCGCCTCCCCCCCATCGCGGTTTAGTTACGGCGGTGATCGCGAAAAAACCAACCCCTAGCGGACCCGCCGGTAACTAAGCGGCAACGGCAACGGCAACGGCGGGTGCCGTGCGTGCGCGCGCCGTATACCCTGTGCGTGCAATGTGCGTCGTGCGTGCCGCGTACACCGCATACGTCCCAGACAACAGTCGTGTCGCGGTGCGTGGATAGCCTAGTGCGCGCGCGTGTGTGTGTCAGTGTCAGTGTCAGTGTTGGTGCACGGAAAACGAATTATTTTTTTAAACAGTTTTTTTGTATAAATTTTAAATTTTCCCAAAGTATTTGGACGAAAAAAACATTTTGAGTGAGTACTTACGGTTATTACAAAATATTTTAATTTTATGTTTTCAATCATCTTTCGATAAAATATTTTACCGGTATGTGTCTTGATGACGAGCGATCGGGCGGTAACTGCCCCTAGACCACCGACCAACTTTTATAAAAAATTATATAATTATTATACCTATAGTGGATATATTATTATATTAATCAAAACACCACGAGCGCGATGTGGCTAAATTTCCCCATTATCTATCACAACGTCTGTAGTTGGTGCATATTTAGTCAACCAAAAGACAATTAGGGCTTTTCTTTTTTCAAGTTGTCCCGTTGGATTTAACCGCACCGGCGGTAGGTTAGGTTAGGCCTAACCTTTGTTTGCGCGCGAAAATTTTCACTTTCTAGTTTACCAATGGAGGCGGTGGCGGAAGGTCCGACCCCTCAAAGGCTGATCCGACGACACCCCCGGAAAGCGAAAGCGCAACGCCGGAACTCGGAAGTGCTTTCGTACTCTGACCCATTTTGTGTGTGTTTACAAACAAACCCTTAACCGTTTTTCGTTTGTATACTCGGACCTGTGAAAACAACGTGCTTTAGTCGCCGCCTTATGGCCTTTGCCGGTCGAATATAATACAGCACAGACGTTTGCGGCGACAATTTAAACCGCGACGGTTGTCATGATGTAATATAAGAACGTAAGAATATGTTATAATATATTATTATAATAAAATATTGTATTGGACTGGTTCGTAACGTTACCGTGATTTAATAAATTAATCTAACGCGCGTGTAGTCTGAAAAAACAACAACCACACGCTATACTGTGCACTAGACTTTCAGATCAACAGCGGCAGCTGTGGTCCTATATTATTATTATGCTATACATGTATGTATGTGTGTCGTTTTATTAAATAAAGTGTTTTTATTCAACAATAAAAACATCCTTCCTGATTAACCGTCGACGCCGCCGCCGCCGTTGTAGCGTTATGCGCGCCTGCTGCAGATTACTGTATGATTATTATTTTCTATTATAATGTGTTTGGGCTTTGGGCGAGAGCATAGACCGAAGTAGTGGTTTTTTTTTAGTTGAACGCGTCGCAGAATTTGCAGGAAACTGAAATCTTTCATAGACAGTAACCGACAAGAGTGTGACGGGCGTAAGACGTTTAAAACAATATTAAAAAATCAGAGACAGGCCGGTCAGGGAAATCGAGGAGACAGGACTGGCTGAATTGGTATAAACACAAATCTATTCTCTGGACTCGATGAAGGGTGTATTTGAGTGCCCCCTAAGTCCACGACTAGAACATGCGTTGAGCTTGTTATTTTCATGGAAAATTTCGGTTGAGCGGAAAACGCTAACATAAACGTTAGAAGAAAGTGAAAAATTGTTGGGGTACCATTCACTTGCCTTTATTTTGCCGTGTGTTGTAGGGTTGGTTTGCCATTTACAATAATTATTTGTCGACGAATACGGCCGAACTGTAGTTTTCACTTATATATCAGCTCAATAGTAATTTCCCCAATTAGAATGACAATTCTATTTGGTAGAAAGTTTTTAATTTTGCTCAATTGATGGTTAGAATTAATGGTGTTAATATTTTGGAATTAATTAATTCAACGAGAAAAACATAAAACATAAAACATAGACTATCAAACAAAGTTGGTAAAGGATTATTATCCGGTTTGTTTAAAAGCTTGACTCGTTTATTAGTTGTACATAAGCCCAATAAACCCATATTTTGCTCAACATGTGCTGGAATTATTAAAATATAACTGCGTTTTTTTGGATTCGGATTTTGTTTGTCAATGACTTTTTCTATCCGCGTTTGTTTTATTGTTCTCATTCGTTTTCGAGAGTGATCGAAGAAACTAATGAACATAATATACACTGAAAATATAATTTTTATTCTGCTCTACTGTAAAATATTGTAAAAATTACTATTATACCCTATTTTGGTTCTCATCACTTTGATGTCGTACATTTTTTAAGGGTTATGACTGTTTTTATTTTTATTTTAAAACCTTTGTTTTGTTTACAGTGAAAGTTAGAAGAGACGAAATGGGCACGTGACGCTGGCTGCGACATCGGCTAGTATGAGCGAGGGTGGCGGGGAGGCTATGGCCTCATACGGTCAGGCGGGATACCCGCCAACACAACCTGCCACCCCGTCATCCACCGTGCCGGAATCCAAGACCCCTGGCCCAGCTCCCGGTCTGCCGCCGTTCAGTTCGTTTTCGGCGGTGGAACTGGCAGAGGGTCTGGGCGCTCGGTTGGGTCCCGGCGACGGCTACGATCCGACCACCGGCCGCATAATGGACATGCACTGGGATTACAACCCGGACGCGCTACACCGTCCCGACCTGTACCCGACCACCATGATCATACCGCAACCGCAGTCGTACAGACCGTGGGAGAGCAAGTTGGACGGCAGCAATTCGCAAGACTCCATGTCCAAAGGGTCGTTCGACTATCCTCCGTCGCCGGCCGGCAGCAAACTGCCGTCTTTCCAGTCTCAGTTCAACTTTCAGACCGAACAACAGCAACAGCAGCACCCGGAAACCGTGTCGCTGACGACCTTGACGCCGGCGGCCGTGTCGCCGAACCAGTCGCCGGGATTGCCCAGCTTCCACACGCTGTCTACGGTCAACGTGACCGCGGCTACGCCCCGAGGGTATCCCACGTTGGTGCCGGGCATCCAACAACAGTTTCACGACGAGAGAGCCGGCACCATCCATCTGTTCCAGAGTCCACAATACCCGCCGCCTCCACCGCCGGCAATTGCGTTTTCGCCGCAAAACCATCACCAGAGTACGATCATCCAGGGCAACTTTATGGGAGCCCCGCACCACCAGTCTAACCAGGCCACCCTGCTGACCGTGGTCAAGACCGAACCCGTGGCCATCGTGTCCGCTCAGATCCCCAGTCACGTGTACCAGAACTCCGGTGGCACGTTCATCGACTCGGTAAAGATGGAAGACACGCTGTCGCCGCGGGGCCTGCAGGAGTCGCGGAAAAAAGAACGGAGAAAAGTTCGGGCGTCCAGCATGGACAGCTCGGTGGAAAGCGACGGCGTGGGCAGCTCGAGCGTGGAGAGCTCGGGCCAAGTGGCGGCCATCAGCAGCACCGCCGGATTCAAGTCGCCGCTTGTGCAACACAACATTTCGGCAATGTCCGGCGGCAACGGGTCCATGATGGACTCGGACCATTGCGAGAACGGCTCCAACGGACTGGACAAGCAGACCAAGAAAAAGCGGAAACGCTGCGGCGAGTGCATTGGCTGTCAGCGGAAGGACAACTGTGGCGATTGCGCGCCTTGCCGGAACGACAAAAGCCATCAGATATGCAAGATGAGGAGATGCGAGAAGCTCACCGACAAAAAGGTAAGCGTGGGAACCGTTACGATAAAACGACAATATCACACACGCATTAGACCGCGTTTGTACAAGATAAGCGAGTTACTTAGATAAAACAATTTCAATAGCATACACAATGGGAACTCGCGAATTTCGGCGATAGCTATTCAAATTCACATTAAAGCGGTTTCATTATAATTCGGTCGAGACACTGTGCGGGTCACGCCAACCGAGTGCAACACGTTAACGCGCGCTTTGTTTACTTCCTGCCACAGTCGCCCACACACACATACACACCCCAAAAACACAATAATATTGTGACTGTCAGCGTGTAAACGCGACCGCGAAAGTTTAAAACGTTTCAACCCCTCTTTAGGGTGAACGGTATTTGTGTGGGTACACGCATACAATGTTGTTGTGTTGATGATTCGTCAACGGGACCTTCCCCTTGACACACATTTACGCCGGTGGCACCTGCGGGCCCTGCTATATTATGCCGTTTACATTATATTATATTGTACATTGCTATGGAGTGTTGTACAGTTACCCCATGCCGGTCCCACGGCACGACAACCGTCTTAACCCCGGCCAAAGACAAACGAACAGTGATTAGTACACTTGTCGTGGGCGCAACGGTGTATATTATTATAGGTCACTATATCGTAAATGCACAACAGATGTCCCGAAATCTCGAACATATTATGCTCTTCCTCTTTTTCTAGGAAAGGTCTCCTCGAGTAAGACACAGGTCTCGGTCGACTAACCCTGTTGTATTGTCTATACTTATGTTATGACCGGGATGCGGACCGTCAAATACAATATAATATGTATAAATATTATTGTGTTATTTATCCGACGACATTGGGGCCGGGACACTTTTGAAATATTTAATTATTTTTATGTAAATCACACTAAAAACTCATTCCGTTCTCACCGGACGTTCGCGTTTTACGTCAACCAAAATTAAACATTTCAAAAAAAAAATTATGCGTTGTTTTCATTGTTTTTGCGCCAAACCACAATCGCTACACGAATACTTAATTAAAATAATATACATATAATACAATTAAATTGCCGCTTTTTAATGATAACGAATAATACGTGTTAGGGTACGCTTATAGTTATTTATCTCTTACGGATTTAGGTCGCAATCGTGTTCAACGGTGCAAATCAAAGTTATCATAATGTAAAATGTACAGCTGTCCTCTGTACGTAATCGGCTTTATAATATTAAGGTTTTTAAAAGTATTTCAAACTTCAACAATTTCAAACTTTATCACGGTTTTACAGGAGCACATTCGCGTTTGACATAATTGAGGGTTGAAGTTTTAATTTTCCAAAAAGTCCATGAAAACCATGAAACCAGATTTTTTTTTTAGTGAGGCCCAACATGTTTTCTTATGAGTCATTGTATAGTATACAATTTTGGATTTCTCAGAGAATAGGAGAGGTTTACTGAGAAAACATCGCTTTTGAAAGAGGAATACATACAAAAAATAGATGAGCGTTTTTTCAAGCTAGAGTGTTCATTTTTTCATGCATATCTCTTTAGTGTTTTGCAAATTCTTTTTTATGTCTGGGGACACTCACTTTGCTGTAATCTGGCATGTTTTAGATTTAGAATACATTCATATAAAAATCGAATTATATTTTATCATAGTCGATTTTCGATGAACAAAATTTAGTTATAAACGTTAATTTTCTAGTAACTTTTTTGAAAATCGCTCATTTCACAATTATTTGGATAAACCTTAATAGTTTATTTTTTATAGAAGTATTTTTTCGTTAGTTCTTTAGAAAAAGTGCATGTTTCAAGTAGAGTTCGGTAGAAATTAAATTAAATTTTAATCGTTAATTAAATTTCTAATCGTAATAGATAATGTGTTTATCGGCAACTAATAAAATATATTTTATTTGTGAATAAAATGATTGGCAACTTAATTTATTTTAACGAAAAAAGTAAAAACTAATACATAAAGAACATTCAAGAACCGAGAAACAGGCAACGGCTAAAATTCGAAAAACTGCTACGACGCATCACGAATCCGTTTATATTGCTTGTACGTGGTGCGTTGGCAGTGAAAGTGTCTGGGGCGGTGAGGGATGAAGGCCGAGGAGGGATGCGAGAGTGAGAGAAAAATGCCGCGTGTCGGACGATGGCAGCGTGGCCGTACACTGTGGTACCTCGTGTACTGCTATATAGGCGGGACGGCGAAGAATTTTCGGAAGTGGCGGTAGGGGGGACGGGGGGCGAAGTGAACTTGCCGCAGCGGTATAGTGCGCACGGATCGATAGCGGAGAAGCGGCCGTAATGGCGTCGCGTCGCGCGCGTGTACTCGCGATGACTCATCGACGCATCCCTTGAACGCGCGAGAGCCGCGTCTTGTCGCGGTCGTTTGCGTGAGCGGCCGTCGCACCTCATGGCCGGCCGCGGCAAGTGCGGTTGTCAAAGGTTCGGGACGAAAACCGCCGGGCCGACTCGCGCCGCCTCCCCTCTTTCAGGTAGTCGGCGGCGGCGGACCCCTTGTTCGTGCATTTCACTCCCTCCCCTCACACCACCCCCCCATCTCCGTCGCATATATTTGTAGACGTACATTTCTATTAAAATATATATATAATGCGCGCAGTCCGTATGCCGTGGAGCTTAACCCCGGCAAACGCCTCGTGCTTAGCTATATTGCCACCAGTATAGGTATCCGTATACCGAAATCCAGACTGCACCCGAAAGAGGCTTTAGTATTTAAGTAAAAAATACCGATTCATTGACAACCGAAATGAGTTTTTTTCACCGTTTAAGTACAGTTTTTCGACCCCCGCTAAATAATATCGATGACATATATATAGAAATTAAATACACCTATAAATCGTCTTCCACACATAGTGTACAAACGTTGAAAGCCAAAGTCTCGAATTTCTACTGGAAAAAATGTACTTATCACATCTCACGCCTACAACGTATCCCAACCAATGCGTAGAGACAGACCAAAGAAAAAATACAAATGCGGCGTATGATAGATTAGAATCGTGCAGAGAGATGTACCATCCGGAAAAGAAACGGTATTGGTTTTAGCTTCGAAGCTGAGAAGGTATTCATCACGTGACTAGCGGCTTTTGAGATTCAAACTAAAAAAAAAAAAATGTTTTAAACACCAATCGCCGTTGTTTGCGGTTTATTACAAAACGCTCGTATAGTATAGTATGGCGAGCTGTTCTTTTAGTACACAGCTGTACCTCACAATTATTTTTTTTCGAATATTTTGCTTTTTCTCAAAAAGCGACGATTGTTTTCCTAGAAACTGGCGCAGGGGTTATGGCGGTCACTATATGATGGTCTTGCGTTAAGTGTTTTGTTCCCATCGAAAAACCACTGGTGGTTGGTCTCACGCTGGGCGAAGGTGTGCACGAAAAATAGGTATCTCGCTGGACGCACACAAAAAAAAAAGGAGAATCACAGCGATTCCGTCATTTAGCAGTTTAGTATATAATATGCGATTCATTTATTATACCCAGAGTATATAATATGTACACGTATAAAGGCTGTACTCGTAAAACAGATTCGTATCTTAGCTCCCTCTGACCGCGTGCCAGAGCCTCGCAGAACACCATCAACCGCAGGGACAATGAGTTTGTCGAATTATTTGCATCCCTACACGAAAACCTATAAAAGTAATATTATCAGTAGCTGACAAGTACGATTCGTACTTACCTAAACATCATAGTTACTAAGCTATAATATTATAGACTAGCGCATGTATATAGGTACTATTCCGGGTTCCAATTTTCAATGTGGCGATCGAGCCAAGAGAGACTTTGCAGTGTACATTATGTAAACTAAAATCGTTCGACGGAGGGATTCATCTGTAATGGGCATTGGACGCTACCGTTATCGATTTTTTTTCGCTCTTCCATACATAATGTCTAAACGACGTTGTCGGCCATTTTTCTTTTTTTTTTTTGTTTGGTCTCGCTGCGATAATTCGATATGGATATATTATATAGCGACACCCCAAACTATGGTATTAGTCGGTTGTGCTTGGTGTGCTCTCCGCGCGCGCGTTTAATCGTCCAAAAATTAGCATGACCATAGAGCGCACGTGGTCTGTATGCGTACTTTAGTAATAACGCGAGTAGGCGGTTCGTTCGCCATTATACGAACGCAAGCGAAAACTTATAAATTCTCCCGACAGCCGACATAACAGTATGATTTATAATTAAAAATGTTCATATCATACCATGTGCGGTCTGCTTACTAAACACTGGGCGATCGCCATAGTCAAAGTTTCAAAAATCCAGTCGCACCGACGCCGCAAAATTATTGCTAGCTAAATTATTTCAACGTCGAGCGGTCGCCGGACAGTGTCCTGCCGATTCGTAGGGCTTTCGGCAATGATTTTGAATAGGAAACCGGTGTCGACGATTTGGCGAAAAATTCTCGCGGTCGCGGAAGCGATTGAGATCATGTGTGTGTGTGTGTGTGTACACGCTGTGTAACATATAAGTGTAGTGCAGGTTGTAATACCTACTCATAAATGCATATATATGGCCGTGCACGTGGGTTCGGTCGGGTGTACAGAGTGCATGGGGCATGGGGAGGAAACCCCTTTACGACGTATGACGTCACACACGCACACACACACACCATTTAAACAGCTCTCGACGGTAATACGCCAAGGAGACCGCACTTCCGCACCGGCGAGAACACGAGACATCGCTTCCGGTCAGGTCGTCTGCGCCGGGAAGCCTTTTGCAAAAACCAAAAAAATTACCGATATAACTACAATAAAAATATTTACAATGTTTATAAATATTATATCTACTATCACGAAAACGCCGATCGGATTTAGCGCACCGCACCGGTTGTTTTAGGGATGTATGTATAATATAATATAGTACTGTGTATACGGTACGAGCGCAAGATAAATGCATATATATATATATATTCATCGGGTCCTATGGTGGCACACGGCGGCAACGTTGCGCACCGCCGCCGTTGAAGGTCAATGTTATAGGGTGAAACGAAGCCGCCA